ATATATATATATATATATATATATATACACAGTGGCAGATGCAGAAAAATATACTGTAGGGGGGATGATATAAGATAAAATAATAATTAACTTCGATTTCATACAAAAATGATAAAAAGTTACCTCTTACAACTATGCCCTACGACTCTTCATCCTTTGAAATTGAGTAATTACATCATCATTTGAAACTGTAAGAAATGTTTTTTTTCTATAGTACATATCATTGCAGCATTCAAAAATTCATCACTGATTTTGTTGCACAAATCTAACTTCACAATCTTCATAGCATAAATTCATCTTTCGACTGTTGCAGTAGCAACTGACAAAACCAAAGCTAACTTCAATAACCAATATACTAGAGGATAAGTTTTATGCTTTTTTGTTTACACTAGCAATCTAGCGAGCTCGGCAATACCACTCAAATTGACAAATCTTTCATCTTGACGTACAATCAAATATTACATGTTAAGTTGTTTCTTAAGAGCGATCCTTTCCATATGACTAAAATCTTGAGGATATAACTCACTCAACTTCAATAAATCTGATACATTGAACTGCGAAAATGAACCACATGGACTCAAAGTTGCTATATTTTTAACTAATTCAGTACTTACCTCACTAAATCGATCCCCAAAATTCTTGATTTGCATGTCCACAACAGTGTTAAAAATATTAAACTTGTAATAATGACGTTTGGTGATGTTGGTCCTTTGTCTTCCATTTTTTGAATAACGACCTTCCATATCCAAAGCTTTAATGCCATTTGCTTCATAAAAGGAATACATTTTCTTCAAAGTAGCTCAAAACTAGTTTCTCTAAATTGTTGCAATAGTTGTTTTGTTCATCTTATCAATGAAACTGCTTCCAAAATATCTTGATCCTTTTTTTGAAAAGCCTGTGACAACAAGTTTGTGACCTCTAAAATATGAAACATCAAATGCAAATAAATCACGAAATCAAATGTTTTCAAATATGCTAAAATACTAGTTGCTTGAGTGCGACTAAAACCATTATTCCCATCCTCTTCAACATACTGGAGCACTTCAACAACATTCGGAAACAAAGCAATCAAGCTCAAAATGATTTTGTAATGAGAACCCCACCGTGTATCTCCGGCTCGTATAAGAGAAAGCTCTTGGTATTTCCCTGTTCCAATATCAATTTCACACTTACCAATTGCTTCTTACATTCTATCTTTGTAACTTTGTCGAAGTATGTCTTTACGCTTGCAAAAAGCATTCACCACATTGATCACCATTCCTAACATATTAAAAAAGTTCTCAACTCTGTCATGTTTATTTGCAATCACCACAACAACTAATTGAAGTTGGTGAGTAAAACATTGGATATAATATGACGAGCTATTTTCATTCAAGATCAAGGCCTTTAACCCATTGAACTCACCATGCATATTGCGTGCTCCGTCATAATCTTGCCCTCTTACTTGTATCAAACTCAATCCATGTTCAGCAAATAAAGTATCAATGGCAGATTTAAGAATTGAAGAAGATGTCCCCGTCATATGAACAATACCAAAAAAACTCTCCTTAACAATCACTACAAAAATGTTGGGTATCAGCGAGGGAAAATTCCCTCACTGATCCGTCGCTGAAAGCTCCGTCCGTCGCTGATCCGTCGCTGATACTCCGTCGGTCAAACAGTCGTAGGTAATGCTATCAGCGACGGATCTGCGACGAATCAGCGAGGGATGTACTTAGCGACGGATCTGCGACGGATTTGCGAGGGAA